TCTTTTTCTATATTTTGGAAAAGGTTGAGTAGTATGGGAACTAGTTCCTCTTTAAAGGTTTGGTAGAATTCTGATGTGAAGCCGTCTGGTCCTGGGCTTTTCTTTTTAGGGAGACTTTCCAATCCTTTTTTTAAAGTAAGCATTTTTAGTTGTAAAGTCTCTCAAAGTAATGTTTTAGCTGCCTTCTAATTTCTTGATAAATACTATTTTCATTATTACTGAGTTTCCTATGTATTCAAATTTCACCATGACCTCTTATGTGACCTATAAATTACTAAGTAGTACAGTATTAAACTTCCAAACATAAGCAGCTTTAAAGTCATCTTCTGGTTGTTGGTCCCAGTTGAATGGTGCTTCAGTCAGAGGATGGTCTGCATGACACAAACGCCATCTCCGTGCAGACTCCCTGCTTAGCCTGGTGCAGTGTATTAGTTTGATAGTCTTTCATGAATGCTTGTAGAGAATGCATATTCTCTGCATTTTGGGATCAAGATATACACCCATTGGGCATACATTATGTGTTTAAGTCTTTTGAGTCATACTATTTTGTATGCTTAGCCTATTAATTACTGAAAGGTGAAAAAAATTACTGATTGATTTATCGATGTTCCCTGGCAATCATCAACTTATGTCAGTACATTTTGCAGCTATATTATTAATGCCTAATATTTTAAATTATGTCTTCTGGTGAATTAGCAACTTTTTTTTTTTTTTTGAGACAGAGTCTCATTTTGTTGCCCTTGGTAGTGCCATAGCATCACAGCTCACAACCTCAATCTCTTGGGCTCAAAGCAATTCTCTTCCCTTAGCCTCCCTGGAACTGCGACTACAAGCACCTGCTACAGCACCTGGCTATTTTTCAGAGACGAGGTCTTGCTGTTGCTCAGGCTGGTCTGGAACTCCTGAGCTCAGGCAGTCCACCTGCCTCAGCCTCCCCGAGTGCCGGGGTTACAGGGTGAGCTGCTGCCCGGCCTGGGACACTCTTAACTCAGCTTCCTTTTACATTTGCCTAGTAATTTTTTTCCTTTTTTTGTATTTTCTAATTATCCTGTAATATCTAATGTTCCTGTAAACAGGATATATTTGGATTTTAACTGTAGTATTTGGTTCATTTATTATTTTTGCCTAGAAATACCTGAGTTTTGTCCTCATTTTTTTTTTTTTTTGCCGGGGCTGGGTTTGAACCCACTACCTCTGGCATATGGGGCCAGTGCCCTACCCTTTTGAGCCACAGGCACCGTCCTGCCCTCATTCTTGAATTGCACTTAGCTGGATATGGAAATGTTGGTTACCAGTTATTAACTGTCTCCTAACACTCTGAAAACATTGCTTCATTGATTTGGGTTTTTCCTTTGCTACTAATAATTCTGGTGTCAATCCTACCAGCATCCTCTATAGGCAATCTCCCTTCTCTGCAGGAGCTTAAAGGCTTTTTCTTCTTGTCTGTTGGGTACAAGTAGTTGTCACTTTAAAGTTTTTTTCCCTACTTGGGAGTTACTGTGTTATGACTTTCATCAGTTCTTAAAAAATTTTCTAATAAACTGCCTCTCCCCTAGCACTATATTCTGGGTAATTTCTTAGATCTATCTTTTAATAACCATACGTTCTACTTACAGGATTTGTATTTGGTTACTTTAAAAACATGCCTGGTCATTTTTCTTTCTCGTCATTTTGCTCCCTTCTTGTAGAAGCCGCTGAAATTCTTGAGGAGCCAGGAAATGCGAGCACAGGTGTTTCTGACTGGGGCTCTGTGTTTATCTTCAGCAGTGCTTTATGATGGAAACCCAACAGCCTCCTTGGTAGTTTTAGATTTATTTTTGCCAGCTGCCTCAAAGATTTTATAAGCCAAGACTATTTTGTTGATTTTTTTTTTTTTTTGATGAGAGTCTTATTCTGCCACATTATGATAGTGGTGTCATCATAGCTCGTGGCAATCTCAAACTCCTGGGCTCAAATGATTTTCCAACCTCAGTTTCCCAAGTAGCTGGGACTACAGGGCCCAGCTAACGTTTCTATTTTTAGTAGAGACAGGGTCTTACTCTCGCTCAGTCTGGTGTTTAATTCTTGGGCCTCAAGTGATCCTTCTGCCTCAGAATCTCAGAGTGTGAGGATTAGAGGTGAGAACCACTGCTCCCAGCCATTTTGTTAATTTCCGAACTTAAGTGATTTCTGGATTGAGCAGGGAATGTAAATTCGTATCAAAAACCCTAATAAAGGCAGATTTCTAAATACAAAGTTTAGTGGCGACCCCAACCTCACCCCCAGCCTCACCCTGAGACCAAGCTCAGGAGAACAAGTTTCTCTGTCATCAATAAATGCCAGTGGAAACATCTTTCTAGTCCACCCTTTCATGCCAAACATCTCCCTTTGAACTTTCCAGCTTTAGGTGAAGGAATCCCACGAAGGTCACATGAACCCTAGGACTTTTTTCTTATCAGAGTAGAAACTACAGCCAAGCTCCTGGCTTATCAGCCTCTCAGTAGTAAGAGTTTACTGAGATCGTCCAAGGACACTGTAATCTTAATTTCAATTTATTGCTTTAATTTACACTTATGTCTACTTTTTGTCTATAGAATTTACCATCTTTTTTGGAGCTTACATATGCTTTTAAAAGAATATTTGTTATAACCTACTCAATTTTCCAAGTGTTTCTCATTCTTCCCAAGTGAGTTTTCAGGTTACCTAACCCACTACATGACCATTCGTAACTATCAATCTAATATTTTACAGAGACAGTGTCTTGCCCTGTCCTGTCCCCAGGGTGGAGTGCAATGTCATCACCACTCACTGTAGTCTCCAATTCCTTAGTGCAAGTGATCTTCCCCCTTGGCCTCTTGAGTTGCTGGGACCACAGGCACCTGTATAATTTGGGAGCCACCACATCTGGCTAATTTTAGCAATTTTTCTAGAGACAGAGTCTTGCTATGTTATCCAAGCTGGTTTTGAACTCTTGGCCTAAAGCGATCTTCATGCTCTGAACTCCCAACACACTGGGATTACAGGTGTAAGCCACTGAGCCTGGCTGTGATTTTCATGATTTTTTAAAGGTTTATTCTCCCCCCATCATTCTCTCTCTCCTTTTCTCTCTTTTTAACATATGCATTAAATATAATTTTAACTCTGTTGATATTCCTAGAAGTATAAATTAAAAGCAAAAGCAGTTAGCAACCAATCTCAATCTGTCAAGAGTTATTTAAAAACATTCTTTCCCCGCAGAACTTTCCAATAAAAGCTCTACATGATTAGTAGAGGACAGAAAGAACACAGAACTAAGATCTAACGCATTCGTGGTTTGGTTTTTAGGCTGCGATGACCCACTCTCTAATTACTGAGAACACAATTTAACCTCCTGCAGTCTATTTTTCTTCCATAAAAATATCTAAAATCATACTTGCAACATACTGACCAATTAGAAATCTATAGTTAAAGCATCTTGATCTTTTCAACTAAGGCTCCAAATGTAGATGTAATATTCCTGAAATTTATGTTTCACTTCATTAGCTATAACAATTCTGGGATCTTAATTGGTACCCAGTAAGGTGAATAATTTTTTTTTAAGTTGGAGTATCACTGTAGATAGTCAAGAGCTATTTGTACACAGAACACATCACACACATCGTGCCCCACATCATGTCCCACCGCGCTCCCCAGGTGACGGAGCACACAGCAGTACCTTAGCTCTCGTGCCCTATATCCTGTCCCACCGCGCTCCCCAGGTGACGGAGCACACAGCAGTACCTTAGCTCTCGTGCCCTATATCCTGTCCCACCGCGCTCCCCAGGTGACGGAGCACACAGCAGTACCTTAGCTCGTGGGGTGGCTCTGATTGTCCAGATGCAATCAACTGCTTGGCCGGGTTTCGTTTTCTCCTCTTGTTCTACCTGACTAGAACGTACTATTCCATCTGCTCCTGAGAGCTCAAACTGGCAATCTAGAAAGAATAAATGAATGATGTTCAAAGGAAAATAAGATCGGTCAAAAATGCCATGAGGAAAAAGTGGTAATATACTAAACCTGGAATGGGATTTAAAATACCTCCTAGGTAAGTAAAGTCTGGATCTGTAACAGAAAAAAAAAGAAAGTAATTGGTACTGAGATAGTTACTTAAGACTTAAGATTTTAAGTTACATCTAATACTACACTTAATAGCAAGGTATGAGAAACTATCATTGGTGTAGGCTATACATCACTGGTCATTTATGAACTTACAGGATCAACACTTAGTTAATAATGTTTATGCTTTTGTTTATATCATGAATTAATGATTTTTTTTGAGATGGGAGTTTTACTTGTCATTCTTGGTAGAGTGCCGTGGTGTCACAGTTCATAGCAACCTCAAACTCTTGGGCTCAAGTGATTCTCTTGCCTCAGTCTCCCAAGTAGCTGGGACTACAGGTGCCCACCACAATGCCTGGCTATTTTTAGAGACAAGGTGTTGCTCTGGCTCAGGCTGGTGTTGAACCTGTGAGCTCAGACAATTCACCTGCCTCAGTCTCCCAAGTGCTGGGATTACAGGTATGAGCCATGGTGCCCTGCCCAATTAATGATTTATTTATGCTGCTTAAAAACGCATACCAACAGTCAAAAATAGTAGGCAGTCCACTGACAGATGAATGAATCAACAAAATGTGGTGCACATGGTATAATATATGCACTATTAAAAAGGAATGAAATTCCTCTTTGCTGAATCATACTAAAATTTATCTTCTAAATTTTTGCTTAAATGGATAGTGATGATGATGGTACATTGTGAATGTACTTAATACTACTGAATTTTACATTTAAAAAGGGGTTAAAGGGTAAATTCTACAGACTTTTTATGCCAAAATTAAAAACAATCACAAACATAGATGTCTCAAAAATGTTACATGAAAGTTCGAAAAGAACTGTATATACCAAACTGCCTGATAGTCTGAAATGTCTCAGCTTCTTTACCCTGGAAAACCAATTTCAATACAGTTATTATTATGTAACTGGATGCATAATTCTTCTTTTTTTTTTTTTTGAGACAGAGCCTCAAGCTGTCCCCCTGGGTAGAGTGCCGTGGCATTATAGCTCACAGCAACCTCCAACTCCTGGGCTCAAGCGAGTCTCCTGCCTCCGCCTCCCAAGTAGCTGGGACCACAGGCGCCCACCACAACGCCCGGCTATTTTTTGGTTGCAGCTGTCATTGTTGTTTGGCGGGTCCGGGCTGGGGATTCGAACCCGCCACCTTAGGTGTACGTGGCTGGCGCCTTAGCCGGTTGAGCTATAGGCGCCGAGCCCATAATTCTTCTTAAAACCATTGTCTGCATTTATTTTGGGGGTCTTGGCGTGGCACCCCTAGCACTGTGGTTACGGCGCCAGCCATATACACTGAGGGTGGCAGGTTCAAACCCGGCTTGTACCAGCTAAACAACAGTGACAACTGCAACAAAAAATGGCCCAGCACTGTGGCAGGCGCCTGTAGACCCAGCTACTTGGGAGGTCAAGGCAAGAGAATAATGTAAGCCCAAGAGTTTGAGGTTGCTGTGAACTGTGATGCCACAGCACTCTAACAAGGGCACATAGTGAGACTGTTTCCAAAAAAAAAAAAAAAGTTGGGGTCTTGCTCTTGCTCAGGCTTGTCTTGAATCCCTGAGTTCAAGAAACCCACCTGCCTCAGGCCTCCCAGAGTGCTAAAACCGGTGTCTTCAAATTCAGACTTTAAAATCTGAATCAGATTTTAAAAATCAGATCTTCCTAAAATCATTAACTTTAGGCAGTTACCAAATTACATATTTTAAAAGGCAGAAAAAAATTATTAGTTTAACTTAGAGAACACCCCAGAGTTTTTTTTTTTTTTTAATTTCAGGTGAATGTGAGGGTACAAAAGAACCAGACTGTAATGTTTCTGTTAGGTAGAGCCCCTCTCGCGGTTGTGTCCTACAGTCAAGAGGTGCGGCATCTACCCTTACGTTGTTCTTTTTAACTTAAACTCTTGTTAAAAGGGGACAACTATTAGACATTTCAAGTCTTTAGCAGAAAAAGTCAACAAGAAATTTATACCTCAAACAGCACTGAGAGAAAAAAGTTATAGGAGTTATCTGGTAAATTAATCAGAACTTTTTCATACGTAGACAAGATTTCTAGGATATTGTCAGTACCGCATCAAAATTTCCGTATCACCAATAGTGTAGAGAATATGATTCTCTAATGTTTCACCACAGTTAATAGGTCTCTTCCAGATTTACTACCTGCTAGACAAAATTTATTTTACAAACAAGACTTGAAAGAATAGCAGATACAGCCATATTTAGCTAATTATAAGCTGTTTATTTTGACATGTGCTGGCTTTTTTCCTTTTTGTGACAAAATCATGGAATCCTCATCCACATTATAAAGGCAGTGTGACAGACAGGAGGTGCTGCTGAAAGTGTATTTGCCATTGTATGATCTAAGTCACTTAATCGGACTCAGTTTCCTCATCTATAAAATACTTATCATCTTCTTGACATTGTCATTAGCATAACACTATACATAATGTATGCAGAAACTCTGAAGCACTATCAAATGCCGATGTGCCTATACTCTTAAGTATAAGCCATATAAAGTTGCTCTCACGACATACAATAGACGAAAAAGAGCTACTTGTCTCCAAAAAAGGATCTTTTCTTATAAAGTTGTCTAAATTTGTTTTTTAATACTTAAAAACATTCAAACAAGAGCACCATGTTGGCAATTTTTCCTTTCACGAAGCCTAAACTTCTTTGCAAACATCTGACTCTCTTGCATAAGATTTTGTGATGGTGTCTTTATGAGGATACTAAAGTATCAGTTACTTCAGTTAGTTGGTTTAAGTTAATAAAAATCAAACACCTGACCAATGTAATCAAATGAGCTATTTTGACATAAATACTGGTTATCACACTTCTGTGAGCGGCTTCATAAGGCGTAACATCCTGTATATCTTATCATACTTGCCCATCTTTCTTCTCCCTTCTATTATGAAAAAACAGTTCAGTAGCTAATTCTTTTTAATTGTAAACTATACATAAATTTACCATGTTAACTGTTTATTTTTTTTTTTTGAGACAGAGTCTCACTATGTCACATGTGGTAGAGTGCTGTGGCATCACAGCTCACAGCAACCTCAAATTGCGTCAGACTCCCAAGTAGCAAGGGCTACAGGCACCCGCCACAACCACGTTAACTGTTTCTACATGTAGGGTTGAGCCACATTAAGAACACTCACAACGTTGTACAACTATCATCACTATTTCCAGAACATTTTTATCATTCCCAGGCTGAAAATCTAAACCCATCAAACATGAACTCTCCATTCTCCCTTCCGCTAGCCCCTGAAATCCATTGTTCTATTTTCTGTTTCTATAAATTCTATTCTATGAATAGATACTGTATATAAGTCAAATGATATAGTATTTGCTGTTTTGTGTCTGGTTTATTTCACTTGGCATAATGTTTCAAGGTTCATCCATGTTGTTACATATTGTACACATATTAGAATTTAGCTGAGTTAACTCATGTCCACAAAAAAATCTGCACACAAATACTTATAATAGCTTTATTCATAATTGTTAAAATGTGGAATCAGCCGAGATGTTCTTCAGTAGAATGAATAAACTGTGGTATATCCAGACAATGAAATATCATTTAGTGCTAAAAATGAAAGACATGCAGGAAACTTGTGTGCACATGGCTAAGTACAAGATGCCATCTGAAGTGGCCACACGGTGTACCAGTTTATGACTCCAGCTACATGACATTCTGGTAAGAGGAAAATTATGGTGAAAGGAAGGGGATGAGTGGCTGCCAGAGGACGGGGGGCGGGAGGGAGGGAAGGATGGATGAATATGGGGGACACAAGGTGTCCAGGGCAGTGAAGCTGCTCTGCATGGTACTGTAATGGTGAACCCTTAGAACACACAGTACCCAGAGTGAACCCTCGTGTAGACGGTGCACTTTAGGTGGTGACTTGTCATCGCTGGGTCATTGACTATGACACACATATCACTCTAGTGAAAGATGCTGGGGGGGGGTGTTCTGGATCAGCCTCTTACGCTGGGCAGTAAGCACGCAGGCATCCTCCACGCCTCTGTGACACATGCTTTTTAGCACTAAATAACAATTCTACTTCTGTTCAATTTTGCTGTGAACCTGAAACTTTTCTAAAAAAGCAAAGTTTATTGAACAAATTTTACTGTTTGAAATGTTATCTTTTGGCATTGGGCAGATAGATACTGAAGCAAAAATTAAAAATTTTAAAGTTTTACTGATAGGGGAAAAAAGCTATTTAGGTTTTTCAGGCAAAAAGAGCAGGAAACAACGCTATATATAGTACAATCCTGGTTTCTTTTCTTTGTACAGGAGAAAGTGTCAATGTAGTCCCCCCACCACCACAAATTATACAATGGAATTTTCCACATTTTGGGGAACTTGCAGGGGTTAGCACATGGAGTACAATGGATAAGCCTCACCCTGGAAAATCACCTTTGTGATCATGGTATCTCCCCTGCCACAATCCTGGTGTTTTTTTTTTTTTTAAAGCAAAATAAGTACAGGAAAAACATCTTAAGGAACATACACCAAATTATTAACACTGACTTTATATGTAGGGTTACAGGATCATGACTATTTTCTTTTCATTTGTATGTATATTTAAAAATTTTTTTCCATTAAATTTCTTGGAAGAAATGAAAGAAAAAAGATCACATAGTTATTTTACTAAGTTATTTTTCCATCTTGTTTATAAGCTCTTTGATGACAGGAATAGCAACTTGTGGAGTTCTGTGTCTCTGCACAGCGATCCATACACCTGGGCACTGAGCAGGGCTTTGCTGCTCTCACAGTGTTCTCACCTCCATGGGGCAGGGGGGACCACAGTAGGCTGAATAGTAGCTGTCTCCCCTAATATGTCCACATCTGAATTCTGACATTCAGATGGGAATAGCCTGTACATATTATCTCATATGATTTTCAAATAAGAGAAAATATTACATGGCAAAAACTGGCATTAAGTAAAGGATCTTGAGATGAATAGAAAGAGATGTGGAGATGGGGGCAGAGGTTGGCGAGATGTAGCCCAGGACTGCGGGAGCCGCTGCTCAGCCAGGAGAGCCACATCTTAGATTCTCCACGGGATTTCAGCAGGATGTGAGACTCTGCTGAACTGTAGACTTCTGGCCTCCATGACTCGGAGCAGATAATTTCTACTGTTTTTAATGGCCAAGTCTGGGGTGATTAGGAAACTAACACAGCAGGCATTCCACCTTACTGAAGGCCCATCTCAGCCTCACTCCGTGCAGAACAGCTTTATCACCATTATGTGGCACAGAAACAACTCAAACCCAGGTCTCTTATACCTCAGTGTAGACGGATCTCTCACACCTCAGTGTAGACAGTCCTTCTACTGCTCAATATTTTCTAGAGTTTTTATTCACATCAGCTGAATAGAGGAAAAACGTGCCAAAATAATCTTGTGGGGATCATGAAAAAAAGACAATTGTTTTTGTTGAATTGTTTTTAAAAATGTATTTATTTTGATATTGTTGGCCTTGAGTACACTCTATAAAACAGAAATCTAAGAAAGAAAGGTGAAACCATCTACGAAATGCTTCAAATTCTAGTTTTTATGACATTTTTATTTGTTCATGGACTGATTTCCTTTTGACCTTGCTAATTTCTTTAAAGTCTTGACCAAATTAATCTCTTTTTCAACCATAACAAGAGATACCCAATACTAAAAAGATAAGTGATTCTTTACCTGGAATAAATGAGTATTTTGCTCGAAATCCCAGTCCTTCAAGCTCTTCATCAGAACTAAACTTAATCCACATGAATCTCCCTGTTGATCTAATTAATGGAGGGCTTTTCATGCCACAGTAACGATCTATCAGAGGAGAGAAACCAAAAGGCCCGTCTCGGACCTCCAAGTGGTCAAAGCGGCACTCGAAGGATGGCTCTATGTAGTAACGCTCATCAAAGGCCAGCTCTATCCTCTGACGTGGAGCAGCTAAGAAGTAAGAATAAGCAAATCAGGGCAACATAAACAAGAATGGATATAAACGTACTGAGAAGCACACATCACTCTTATTGCTTTGCAGAGGACCACGCTAACAATGTTGCTCTGCAGAACTATAGTTAATCTTTCCCTTTGACATACACAATGTGTTAATTAGTTGAATGTTTCTGATCAGAACTAAAGTCAGGACACAAATGCTTAGTTCATGAGATACATACACACACTACCCTGCAGAGCAACAAACACAAGGTCGGAAAGGAGCTCAACAGTGTGGAAACCACTCTGCGTCAGACCTCAACAGAGAACGCCAGTGTGTTTAAGTTTCTTAAAGTATCAAAGAGGTTTTTCATATATACTGATGTACCTAGTGAATTATACGTTAGGAGATCCAAAATTCCCAAAAAATTAAAACAATTGTGTTGTTAATGTATTCAATATTCAGAAATATCTATCATTAATAGAGTTTAATTCAAATACATGTTTAAATTTTGTTCAAACAGGAAATTTTACCAATGTATTTAATTTTATAATAAAGTAAAAATTCATCCAATGAAACAAAGAAATTGGTAAAATACCTTCCAAAATGTAGATGCACTCTTTGTTGGGTGGGTACGAGTCAGGGTAATTTGGTGATGCAAACTGACCTCCATTGCTGGTTCGAACCCAAATGCCACATTGGGTAGCAGGAACGTGCTTGATTCCAATATTTTGTCCATCTTTGGGAAAAACAGCATTTAAAACATTAACTGTACCGAGAGAGCATCACTCTTTTCCTTCCTCCACACCTTTCCAAACGATTGCCCGCTCCATACTACATATGTACCATCTGTAAGACCCATGGCCAACTTCAGAGCCACAAACTGAGCACAGCAGAAGTGAAGGGGAGGCTGGGTGTGCTGCTGGGAGCACCTGCAGCTGGAGCAGTTTGCCACGTAAGAGAACAAGAAAACGTGTGTTAGAGCCTGATGAATCAATAAAGTGCCATAAAATTCAGGTCAGACATAAAAGCAAAAGAGTGCCAGGAGTTAGTTTCTGATCTGATGTCCTTATATTTAGTTTAAAGATGACAGAGGGATTTGAGATGAAGACTGTAGACTGAGTACATGCACAAGCTCTGTTCCAGCCTTGAAACCCCACTTCATCAACAGGGAAAGGAACCCCAAAGTGCAAAGGGGCAGATACGGCAGTAACAACTGCACTGCAGGAAGTGGGGTGAGAAAGGGGCGTGAAACCGGGCTTTCCAGAAACGTGAGGTTGGTTAAAAGTCTGTTTAGACTCAGTCTGATTTCCAATACCACCCTTCCTATTCCACAGATCTGCTCTGTTAGTGCATCAGTGAACTCAAGGTTATTTTTTTTGGAAAAGGCTAAACAACAGGGTTTACTGTCCCAGGGGACACGAAGTACATCTGAAAATCAAGAAAGCAGCCTGAAGAAGGGGTCAGCACAGTGGATGGTGCTCCAGTCTCCTCACCCACTGCACTCCCCAAAAGCCCCTGGTCAGTTTAGAGGAAACAGAAAAGATTCTTCTCTGGGGAATCTAAACAGCCCTAAGAAAGACTTAAGGATGCAGATCCAGGGACTCCCAATGTCAGGTCAGTCCATACTGAGGGCCACAGTATGCTCTCCCTTCCTACACCTGCAGACACTCAGGATCAGAGTGGGAGTGCCCCTCTTAGAATATGAGCAGACGTTTGAGGAAGTCTCTACTATGAAAAATAGATCAAAACAAGAGCAAAGGCTATGTAAAATAAATATTAAAAAACAACATAAAACTATCATTTATTATCCTCAAAGAGATAGAAAAACAAATTTATAAAACAAAAACAAAGATTTTCTAAAAAGTATATCCACAAAACAAAAAGCTTCTAAAAACAGAAGAAATAAAAAACTTAGTACAAAGTTTGGAACAGAAGTCAGCAAACTATGGCCTTGGGTCAAATCTGGTCCACTGCCTGTGATGTGATAAAGTTTCACTGAGATTTAGCAACACTGATTGTCTGCACACTGTCCACAGCTGCTCCAGAGACGGGCCCTACAAAACTCTCTTAACTTACTGTTGGATCCTTTACAGAAAAAGTTTTCTAATTCCCAGTTTACAGGATAAAGGATGTTGAGCAGAAAGAGAGATAAAAACAGATTTCCAAAGGATCATAACCACATAATAGGAATTCCCGAAGACAGAACAGAGAAATGGAGGGAAGAGAATTTTAAAAATTAAAAGAAAAAAAAAATCTTTAACCTAGAGACAGAATTCATATCAAAAAAGTTTAATGAGCAATGATGTAAATCCTGAGTGCTGATTTTACAGATGTAACAACCCTGAGAGGGACGGTACGAACGGAATGAGTTTGTGTCAATGGGAGTGTTTAGTAGGTTGGGGAAGAGCTAACTTCCACCTTCAATGGTGAAAAAAAAATCAATATTTAGGGCAGTGCCTGTGGCTCAAAGGAGCAGGGTGCTGGCCCCATATACCGGAGGTGGTGGGTTCAAACCTGACCCCGGCCAAAAACTGCAAAAAAAAAAAAAAAAAGTCTAAAACTGAAATATGAACAGGACCAAAACATTTTGAATAACATACTGATGGAAATGTCTCATTTGTTTACATTGTAAAAAGGGATTTAAAAAAATTTTTTGCTTAGTAATAAAGTATGAATCTCATTTAATTTTTCGACATTTAATTCCCAGTGTCTTAGGAGCTACTGGTGATGCCAATTTAAAAAATTTATCAGGACAAGCCTTTAGGTTGACAATTTACTCCAGTTATAGGCTACAGAACCCAGCTACGTTGAAGCTGGTAGGTTGACAGAAAGCCTTAGGTCACTGGGACACCCCAAGGGGTTATGGTGACAGTACTCAGAAGTTAAAAACCTCTCTAACGAGCCAGCCCGCTGTTCTGAACATGCAGTATGTTATCACTGTACATACTTTACCTTGGGTTTTTTGGGCTACAGCGATTCCTTCCACTACCAGTATTGTTATTAACAACACTAGAGAAATAACAGAAAAAGAAAAGTTACAAAATTGAATCTACAGTACATTTTACTAAGTCTATTAAGAAAAATTAGATGACAAAAAAGTAACTAAAATCACAATTTCTTACTAACATTCACTCTTAAGATCTTTAACCCTTAAGATAAGTCAAGAAAACACAATTTATTTTGCACTTGCTTGTATTAAGTGCTTATGAGACATTTAAAGCATTTTTCAACTAAATAGGTTTTTTTTGAAAAGACTTTTTTTTTTTGGCCACAGACTTTGCTAATCCTAATCATTCTTCCATCTTAAGAGTTTACATGCATCATAGCTGGCTTATGCCAGTGGAAGTTCCCTGAGATCACCTGACTTGTGAGAACTTTCATGATAAGGCAGTGTGGGGCAGCAGTCTCCTAGAAATCCGTTCAGACTGTTCAGAGCTGCTGTGTGCTGTTACAACAGAGGCTGAAGTCCTCCCCAGGTGGACCCTGCTGAGACTCGGCACCAGCGTACTGGACTGAGCAGTGTGTCGGGTGAACTAGTCATCACTTGTTCAAGGAGTGAGGGGGGTGGGCAGTGAGGGCACATTGGTGTGGAGAGTGCAGCAAAATGGTTAAGAGTACGGACTTGGAAGTTAAATGAACTTGGGTCAGGGTTCAAATTTTGCCCTGTGTCAGGCTGTGAGGCCTTTTCTGCATTTCACTTATTTACAAAATAAGGAAGATATACTAATAGAATCAACCTCATTAGTTGTAGTGAATATTAAATGAGACAGGCACAATATTTTTTTGGGAGGGGGGTCATCTCACTGTGTTGCCAGCACTTAAGAATGCAGTGGTGTCATAACTCACCACAACCTCTAACTCCTGGGCTCGTGCCATTTTCCCACCTCAGCCCCCCAAGCAGGCCACAACCACACCTGGCTAATTCTTTTACTCTTAGTAGACATGGGCTATTGCTGTTGCTCAGGCTTGTCTTGAGCTCCTGGCCTCAAGCCATCAATTCTCTTCTCTTGGCTTCTCAAAGTTCTAAAATTACAGGTATGAGCCACTAAGCCCAGGCTGTAGAGTACTTTTTATGTGCTAAGTATTTTGTTAAATAAATGATAGCAATTACGACAAATCAGTACTGCAAGGATCAATCTACCCTCAGTGACAACCTACGACACAGGTGTAAAGGAGTTTAACAGGAGGTGCACGGACAGCACAGGGCGAGCAGTGAAGTGAACAGGACGGCACAGGGCGAGCAGTGAACAGGGCAGCACAGGGTGAGCAGTGAAGTGAACAGGACAGC